TTTTTTTCGCATGCCCCCCCCCCAAATCCCACCAGCCCCCCCTACCTTATAAAAAATGAACGGTCCCTAAGGAAAATAGCAGCTGCACTGTAGTCTTTTCTATTTTGTTTGATAGCCATGGCAAGCAATTTGGTTCCAGTATTTGAACAAGGATTCAGCTGTCTGTCAAAATCAAACTTAAAACGTTTACTTGTGTCCAACACAAATATTGACTGTAGTTTGAGGTGTGTTTTCATGAGTCTGGGCTCACAAAGATTTTACAATAACATGGAATGCGTTCGTGTAATAAGCATTAAATTATGCCAAAATGGGTCATTTTCAATGCCTCACTGCTCCTTAACGAGCATGGGCACCCCCCAAAAGATTTCTGCAATAGGCCACGTTTGATATATTCACATTCTAACATGGCTCTGAGGCTTTCTGGCCAAAATTGTAATTCCTGCTTTGCACTGTCATGCAATAAAAAAATAATTTGAAAACCATTCAGTGGATTAAAAGTTAGGAAAATGTGATGTTATAAGAGATTGGTAAAGACACTTCTCCAAGTTTTAAGTCTGTGTGTTTTCCTAAACTTCAGATATTCGTCAAAATGTTTTGCACAAATTTACAGAGCACAGTATGGAGCCGCCATGTTGGTGTACCTCCGTGGGACACCAATATGGCGGCCGGAAAATAGTGTAAACATCTGGAAATTACTTTGTCTATCTAGGCGACTGATTATCTGTACTGAACAAACAAGCATTTACATTAAGCACTTTTCCTAATACTTGAACTTCTGAATAGGCTAAAAATCATGAGATAAGTATATATTTTTTGACAAACTCATTCGTAGCTTTATGTCACACACCGCCATAACTCTGAAATTCAACATGCGCTGGTTTCCAGATGAAGCAAGCTACTATACTGAGCTGAAAAGTTGTAAACAGATATAAATTTACCCCCTCTTATGTCTGATGAGGATAAAAACTTTGGTACGGTGGCTCTTTAGTTTTAGATTTTAGAAAATGATGACATCACGTGCAAGCCAAGGATTAATCGTATCTACAGTGTATAACAAATCACAGAATTTTAAATGTATTTTGAGGACTTCTTTTCAGGGAAAATGTCTGTAGCACTTTTCACAAGTTTTGAAAAATGCTGGAGACATTGCGACAGAAGCCATTAAAGCGCACGTAATTGATGTGCAAATCACATGGGTATCCAATTACAGGTATCCAATTACAAAGAGTTCAAATTGGATACTTGTAATTGGACACCCATGTGATCGCGCACTGATTACATGACAAATAGGCGCGCGGAGAACCAATCACGATCGAGAATTTTGTTATAGGTACGATTAATGTTGAAAAAATTTCAAACCATGGCATATTTATTTAGTTAGGTCAGCATGTATGAGCTCACCATGTCATGCTATTTGGTTTTGCAAGTATAAGCTGTATAGAACAGAAAGTCAGGATTTTTAAAAGACATTGTGAAACCATTATGATAACATCCACAGTGGTAAACTATAGTCATGACTAGATTTTAATTAATTTCTGGAAGATTCAAAATTACTTTGGTGTCATCTGTAACAAGAAACTACGTGCATATGTCATATTCTTCTAGAAATTTTCTCTCAACTGCACCAAACATCCAAAAACAAACCATCGGGAGAAAAAGCTAAACAAGTACAAGCTCTTAGTTTTACGCATGAGCTACTTACAAAAGCAAATACAAAGTGGGTGAAAAAAGTATCACTTTCTCTCAAGAATTTTCCACTACACGCCAGTTTTCATACATGATTATCACATACAAAAGCAATAAAATAATGGTGCTTGCCCACGCTGAGAAAATGCTTGCCTAAAGGCACTAGTACTTTTGTCAGACCCTGAATAATTTATTACCTGCTAAGGTTACATGTACATGTATGTAGGTTTGGAAAAAAGACTGTCCAGACAATTTACAAAAGAAAACATCGCCAGTGTCACTTGGTGAGCAAATTATGTTACATGTACATGTATGAGCTATTTCAACAACTTTGACTTCCAACTGTCACACAGACCCCCAACTGTTCAACAGTAAATTGCAAGCAACTTACACACTGGTTAGCCAACTCAAATAATAGTCTAACAGGAAAAGAAGGATAGAGAGAGAGAGAGAGAATGAAGGAGTGAAATTAGCCCCCATAACTACAACATGGAAAATTGCTACCTAGTAAATGAAATGCTAATGAAATGAAAATGTTAGGAATGAAATTAGGCCGCACCATTCAAAGTAGATTCTGGTAAAATTTCCAACAAACATCTCCATTAATTTGAAAGGTAGGATGGTCCCCCACTTGGAACCAGAACTTTGCATGTGTAACTACATGTATATTCAACTAACCTCATTGACATGTGTCATCTGAACATGTCCAGCTTTCTCTCCCAAACAAAGTTTGTTAATGCTAGCTTTCGCCATTCATGATGCTTGACATTTTCCTGAAGAAGGAAAGATTCTAATCTAAATATATGCTGATTCCTCAGACACCTATGTACTGTGAATATACTCATAGGGTATTCTTTCCGAAACAATTTTCACCCTATCACATACAAGGGGTTAGGGTGGATGTAGTTTCCTTTGCATGTAGCCATTCTTTTGTTCCATCGTGTACTCCTCCCTGACGACGTTCTGCTGGAAAGAGTGCATGACACGCTGTGTATTGACTGGAGGCTAGGGTGAATGCCACTCCCTTGATAGTTTTCAAAATTGTTGAAAAAGGGCTGAGGTCTGGAGGCTAGAACTTTCAGTAGCTAGATGTATATTCATCCATTAGGGATGTGTGACCACTGCTTGTCAACTCATTTCTGATGTTTTCTTTAGCACAGTTGCAATATTAGTCCAACATACATTAGTTTACATGTAAAATATATTTACATTAATTTATATGTTGCCATCAATAATATTTGTGATGGCAGTTGAAGTTCTTCTGCTATTTCAAAATACTAAATAAAACCACGTGATCATTATTTGCGGAATCAGTTATTGTGTTTGCTTGTTCCTCGCTGTTAAAATTATATGGTAAAATCATACTTTTTAAGTTACAAAATACTGTATACATGAATGAAATTCTTTTTTTTACAAAAAAATTGAACTTACCAGGCAATTATTGCTGGATTTGTTTCCATGGGAGATGATTATCCTGCATAAAGTTGCAATGATGTACACATCAATGAAGGCATCTCCATGTGTGGACCCCTGAATAGAAAGAACAGTGACATAAACAATACATGTCTGTAACACTTTTTCCACACAATTTCTTTGGTTTAACTTACATCTAGCCTATGAACACAGATGGATTTTTGGCAAAAAAATACCATCTGTCAAAATGACTCCACAAGTGAATTCCATGACATCAATCTTTTGTCTTCTTTTAACAGATGACCAATTACATTACGTTTTAGATTAGGTCAGATAAATTTCTCCCTTGTATGGGAAGCCGTGGATATTCAGTTTCTTGGTGGACAACTGACCCAACAAGGAGTTTTGCTTTTAATGTAAAGGCAATTTTTTGCTTTCAAAGGCTAAGATTAGAGCACTGGGGAAAAGTTTATCAGTGGATGTTTCCTCTTTAATCTTCCACTTTAGGCAACAAAAAATTTACTTAGTCAAGGTTTTAAAGCTTTTGATGGGATGATTTAAACGTTAGGTATGTATATTCAAGATTTAACGGCAAATTATACGTTTACTGTATGAAAACAACTACACTACTTGATTCATCAGGGTTTTAAATTTGCCGCCATTTGCAAAATTAATTCAAGTCTTACCTGCTCGCTCTTTTACTTGGAACAAACTTAGAAGTATTGTCCATAAACTTATAACAGAGAGCGATATCAAAAATATAATTACAAGATGCTTTGTAAAGTATGCCCGAACTAAAACTAGATTTGCTTGAGTCAACTGCATAATTCTGCATGAACAAAATGATGGCTTCTCTCTCAACACACCACTGTAGATCTTTTTATGTAATCTAGAATTGACCAAACACGACCAGACTACAATATGACTTCCATATGCTAATAAATGGTTCATAACTTACTTACCAAGAAGTTAAAAACCATAGTTAAATGTCATTCCCTCGCTTCTCTTTCGAAAGCCAGCATGTGCAAAAATTCTCAAGGTTAACGATCGATTGGCATTGTGGGACATTTCTATGTTCTCCCCTCCCCTCCACATGGTTAAGGGTTCCACCTTGAATTTAAGTGAAGTTTTAGGAAGTTTAAAGAGGGATTAAAAGGAAAACAAAAAGTTTTGGAGCACCATAATACCCAGCCAAAATACGGTCTTCGTGTTAACCCCCGCCTTAAACGTTTGCGGACCTGCCGATCCGACTGCAGACTGGGGTAAAATCCGGGGGGGGGGAACTCCCATATGGAATGGACGGGGATACTCGTCGTCTCGCTTAGGGGTGTAAATTTCGAATTTTGGTCTCACTTAGGGTGTGCAAAATGTCATTATTTTTAGCCGTCAAAGTCTCGTTAAGGGTTGCACGCGAAGAAATAACAAAACAGAAAGAATTTTGATTCTTTGTATTTACTCAATTCATATAAACAAATTCGCCATCATTAAAAGTCCCTGTACTTTTTATTTGTCTGTTTTATAAACTGGTCTCTTTTAGGGGTCTGCATAAACTTCGGCCACGCCCAGATTGGTCTCTTTTAGGGGTTAAATTCAAAATTTCCGACGAGTATCCCCGTCCACTCCATATGGGAGTCCTCCCCCCGGGGGGTAAAATGCACGATTGAGGGTAAAATGGAGACAGCAGATTCCAGACTGTTTTAACTGTACCGTGTTTCCATTTCCATTGTCGAGAGCTAACCGTTGCAGACTAATCTGAGCGTTATTCAGATTAACATGAGTCAGACGCCCCTCACTACTGCCTGAGTGTAACTCAATCTGAGGGTAACCGGTCGTTTAGTCGCCAAGTGGATTAGCCCCTAACCGTTTAGCTCCCCCAACCAGAAGTCGAAAAGGTTGTCTATTTCTCAATCTTTAAGGGTAAATATGGGGGCTAATCGACTTCTGGTTGGGGGCTAACCGGCTAAAGGTTAATCGACTTGGAGCTAAACGACTGGTAACCAGGCTGAGTGATATTCAGGCTAACCCCAGGGGCTAACCGGAAGGCTATTCAGTGAATGCAGGCTACCCAAAGTGCATATTATCATTCTGACTATCGATGATTAGGCTGTATGACGCCCAGGTTACCCTGATTATACCGTCACAGGTTGTGGTTGCGTTTTAAACTGGCTACCATGTTGGATTCTCTATTGTTCCCAGTGTCTTTCCGGTTTGGTCTTCGCGGGAACTTACGTGGGATCCCGTTTTCCTCAAGTCAGGTGTTTACTTTTTTCTTTCCCATCTGATGGTGGGACAGGAGCGGATTGATACTCCAATGTACTGGGCACTCTCCCCAAAGGATATGATTTCTGGCAAAGAACCATGGATAACGAGGAAGCCCTGTTTCGCGCTGGTTTAGCCTAAACTTTGGTTGAATATTTTAAATCTGTAGACGTTTATAGAGTTGCATACCGAAGTAAATTGACTGAATAAGGGTAATTGTATCGCTACTGTATGTTATTTTAAGAAGTTCACTTCAGCCATTTTATTTACAGTAACCCATCGGCACATGCGTTTTGTTCAATTTGGGTTTACTTACTTATCGTTTAACAACGCTTCCCCGGCTTCACTTGCGTGACGAACCGAATGTTGCTACTTATA